TAGGTGCAGAAGCACCTTTCATTGCACATTCCTATAGAATAGCAACCTATGGTTCTTTTTTTCAAAAAATGACTGTTATCAGTTAAATGGGTCAGGAGCAACTGCCATAAAAATACAGTTTGTGGTTTAATGAGAATCATTGGAAATTCCAGTTTTTATGCATATGTATTCCAATGAAAAGGGGCCTGCAAAATTTAATATTTTGATAAAGGCCAAACAATCAATCAGAAGTATTCTTATTTAGCCCTTTCCTCCCAGGTTAGCTAATCTGTAGGCAAATGGTCAAAGTACATCATGTGCTTACAACCAAAAAAAATCTAAATCTTGTTTAATGCCCCTTAGGAGAATAATAAAGTGAGGTCTACAGCATATCCCTCTGGCCGGTATCTTTTTGCAGGAAATACACCACGCAGTCCACTACTCTCACAGTTCTGTCAAGAACAAGATTTATCCTGCACTGAATATTAAAATAAGAATATGACAGACAATAACCAAAACAATACTTGTCAGCCATGTATAATGAAAGTTTTAGTAGTGATCAAGAAGCTGCATACTTTGGGGATTTATGGAATCATAGGAAAGCAGAGCTGGAAGGGAGCTATAGAGGTAATCAAGACCGGCTCTCTATGCTGAGGAAGGACCAAGCTATTCTAGACCATTCCTGACAGTCAGGGGCAGATGACCATTTTGCGGGGCCCCGGGCAGCATAATTCCGCGGGGACCCCCCCTTTGCCACGGCGCATGCGCAGTGACGCCATGCGCATGGGCAGTGGCGCCACGGCGCATGCGCGGGGCTTTCTGAAGTGCGGGGCCCGGAGCGGCCGCCCCGTTCACCCTGCCCTATATCCACCCCTGCTGACAGTTGTCCAACCTGCTCTTAAAAACAATTAATGGGAATTTCACAACTTCCTTTGGAAGTCTATTCCAGAGTTTAACTACTCTCATAGGTAGAAAGTTTGACCAACCTAAATCCAAATTACATCTTGTCCTACCCTCAGTAGACATGGAGGACACCATCCTCTTTTATTACAGTCTTAAACATATTTTAGGACTGTTATCTGGTTCCTCTAAACATGCCAAGTTTTTTTTAAACCTGACCTGGGGAAAGGTTATAATTTTTTCTTGAACCCTTCTGGGTTACACACCAGTTTTACTCACACCATTCATGAACTGTGGACACAGTACTCCAGGGCTGTGTCTAGACTGGCCAATTTTTCCAGAAAATCAGCCGCTTTCTGGAAAAACTTGCCAGCTGTCTACACTGGCCGCTTGAATTTCCGCAGAAGCACTGACTTCCTACTGTAAGAAATCAGTGCTTCTTATGGAAATACTATTCTGTTCCCATTCAGGCAAAAGGGCCAGTGTAGACAGCTCAGATTTGTTTTCCTCAAAAAAGCCCCGATCGCGAAAATGGCGATCGGGGCTTTTTTGCAGAAAAGCGCGTCTAGATTGACACGGACGCTTTTCCGCAAAAAATGCTTTTGCAGAAAAGTGTCCGTGCCAATCTAGACACTCTGTTCCAAAAATGCTTTTAACAGAAAACTTTTCTGTTAAAAGCATTTCCAGAAAATCATGCCAATCTAGACGCAGCCCAGATGTGTCTCACAAGTATCAAGCAGAAAGGGAAGAGAAGGAAAGAAGGTGATTCTTCTAGGGAAGAAGATGCTACAAGGGAGCTCAAAGATCAAAATAGGAGCAAATCAATTTACTACTACTAACTAGTTAAGGCTTTTTCCAAAGTGCCTTCCTTATAACCACTGACACATTTTCTAAGTATTATATCTTAATGAAGGCCAGCCCCTACATAATTCTGTCCATTAACTCTATAGGCACTATTAGGTATCCATTAGGTAACGCTGACTTTGTGTTAAATATAAAGACCAGGAAAATGTTTTTTACTGAAGTCTTCTGGAAGGAAACACGATGGAATTTCAAAAGAGCCCAAGTGATTTAGGGGCAGGAATCCTATTGACTTCCAGTGGGATTTGTGTACCTGCGTCTCTTAGAAGCTTTGGGAAAAGACATACCCAAAGAGACAGAGAGAAAAAAAGGAAGAGGAAGTGGTAATGTACTAGCTATATTCCCTGTTTTACACTACACGAGCATACCAGATATTCTGGTGTAGCAACCCATGTGGAATGACTACAAGAAAAGCAACAACAAAAGCTAGGAGCCCATTAATTAGAAGTTGATGTATTCACCTCAGATTTAGCTATAGATTGATTCAGTTGTTAATTGTTTGTAAGTTATTTCAGATCCCAAGGTTTAGAGAGCTGCCTAAATGGACCATGAATGTATTGACAGTCTTGGTAGAGAATAGACAAGTTATTACAAAGACTTTGCAGAAAACATGTTATTGTAACAGTTCTAACTGGAACAGCTTTATTCTCTTTGGGCTTCTGCACAGATGTGCTGACTTTCACGTTGCATGAACAAAAGTGTTTTTAACAGAATACTCTAGAGAAACAGGCAGCTAAAATGTAGAAATTAATCCTCTCTCTTTTTGCTCTAGCTATAAAATATTAAATCTCATTTTTCATGACATTTTGCAGATAGAGGCATGTATGGAAGATACAGAATATTATTGTTTACCTCTTTAATCCCTATACAGTATTTTAATATCTTTCTTTGCAGACACCATCACGTTGCTATTTACATTTTTTTAATATCACAGAGTCAGACAGTGAATTGGATAGGTACCAGATTTTACAATTTGAAGGATGTGAGTTCAAATGCTATTAGTTTGTTAGTTCCATGTATATTATATGATTAGACTATTTTTCTCTCACTATAACATACAAATAATGAACTTTTAATCAACTTTCTTAAAAACTGAGTATCAAAATCTGACACTGTAATTAAAGTAGAAAAGAAAAGAGTCCAAAAACCACATGGTATTACTATTATAAAGACAAACTAAAGAAACTGAAACAATGTATACAAATGAGCAAGACAAAGGGAGTTTAAATCTCATCTCCCTTCCCAGGATCTCTAAAAAGTACTATTCATGGGTATGTCTACACTACCCCGCTAGTTCGAACTAGGAGGGTAATGTATGCATACCGCACTTGCTAATGAAGCCCGGGATTTGAATTTCCCAGGCTTCATTAGCATAAGCGGGGAGC